ATTTCGGGATGAGGGGTTTGGGAATATTCCCAGGGTTGAGGGGTTTGGGGATATTCCCAGGGTATTCAGTAGAAAGGGATGAGGGGTTTGGGGACATTCCCAGGGATTTTGGGATGAGGGGTTTGGGAATATTCCCAGGGTTGAGGGGTTTGGGGACATTCCCAGGGATCTGGGGACATTCCTGGGGATTTGGGGCCATTCCCAGGGATTTGGGACCGCCAGACCTGGGGAAGAAGATGCTCTCCACCACGTAGAAGTCCTGCATGAGCACGTCCCGCTCGGGTTTGGTGCTGAGGCTGCCCACGGTGTGGGTGATCCCCAGCTGGATCGCGCCCTTCAGCGCCGACGACGTCGTCTGCGGGGCCAGGGAAGGGGAGCCAAGAAAAAACGGGAATGGGAAGGAGGTAAAAGGTCCTGGATTGGCCCTTTTCCTACTGAAAGTCATGAAATCCCCGGGAATATCCCCAAACCCCTGGGAATATCCCCAAACCCCTCATCCCCAAATCCCTGGGAATATCCCCAAACCCCTCATCCTGAAATCCCTGGGAATATCCCCAAACCCCTCATCCCTAAATCCCTGGGAATATCCCCAAACCCCTCATCCCTTCCTACTGAATGTCCTGAAATCCCCGGGAATATCCCCAAACCCCTTGTCCCTTTTCCTACTGAACATCCCTAAAATCCCCGGGAACATCCCCAAACCCCTCATCCCAAAATCTCTGGGAATATCCCCAAACCCCTCATCCCTTCCTACTGAACACTCCTAAAATCCTTGGGAATATCCCCAAACCCCTCGTCCCTTCCTACTGAACATCCCAAAATCCCTGGGAATATTCCCAAAGGAGACCTGGGAATGAGGTTTAAAACCTCCCCCTCCCTCCAGAGCACAACAAGGTCCTTTTTTTCCTTGGGGATTTCCCGTCATTCCCAACCTTCCGGCACACAATTCCTCGGGAAAAAAATGGGAATAAAGGAGCTGGAAAAGGGGGAAAAATGCCCCAAAATTACCTTTTTGTAGGTGGTTTCCCCCGTGGAATCCACCCCTCTGTGGCCTTTCCTGATGGTCTGGCCGGAACCTCCCGGCATCTGGGAAAACAGGGAAAATTGGGAAGAGTCAAGGATGAAAAACCGGATATTTGAGAGGAATTTTGCTGCCTGGAACCACTGGAATAATCTGGGGTTTTTTCCCGTTAATTGGGAGTTTTTCCAGGACAAACTGGGGGGGTTTGGAGCAGGAATTCCAAAGGAAAAGCTGCTCCCGGGTTTAAGGCTGA